TAATAGCCTTCCTGACTGGTATGAGATGGTATCGCCTTGCAGTTTTGATTTGCATCTTTGTGATGATGAGTGATGTTGAGCAGTTTTTCATGTTTATTGGCCACTTGTATGTCTTCTTTTGGGAAGTATTTGTTAATGTGCTTTGACCACCTTTTAATGGAGTTATTTTTTTCTTGTTGATCTGTTTAAATTCCTTATATATTCTGGATATTAGTTCTTTGTCGGATGCATAGTTAGCAAACATTTTCTTTGTCAGATGCATAGTTTGCAAATATTTTCTCCCAGGCCCTAGGTTGTTTCTTTACTCTGTTGGTCGTTTCTTTTGCTGTCCAGAATCTCTTTAGGTTCTAACTGTCCATTTCTGTTTCTGTTGCATTTGCTTTTGAGGATTGAGTCATAAATTCTTCACCTATGCTAATGTCTAGAAGGGTGTTTCCTAGGTTTTCTTCTAGGATTTTTATAGTTTGAGGCCTCACATTTAAGTCTTTAATCTATCCTGGTTAATTTTTGTATATGGTGAGAGGTAGGAGTTCAGTTTAATTCTTCTGCATATGGCTAGCTAGTTTTCCCAGCACCATTTATTGAATAGGATATCCTTTACCCATTGTTTATTTTTGTTGGCTTTGTCAAAGATCAGTTGGTTTTAGGTGTACAGATTTATTTCAGGGGTCTGTATTCTGTTCCATTGGCCGATGTGTCTATTTTTGTTCCAGTAACATGGTGTTTTGGTTACTGTAGACTTATTGTACAGTTTGAAGTTGGGTAATGTGATGCCTCCAGGTTTATTCTTTTTGCTCAGGATTGCCTTGGCTATTTGGGCTTGTTTTTGGTTCCATGTGAATTTTAATTTTCTTCTAATTCTGTGAAAAATGGCATTAGTAATTTGATAGGAATAGCACTGAATCTATATATTGCTTTGGGCAGTATGGATGTTTTAATGATATTGATTCTTTCAATCTATGAGCATGGAATATTTTTCTATTTGTGTTGTCTATGATCATGTCATCTTTGAACAAAGATAATTCATTTCTTCATTTTTAATTTGGACGCCTTTCATTTCTTTTTCTTGCCTAATTGCTCTGGCTAGGACTTCCAATACGATGGTGAATAGAAGTGGCAAAAGTAGGCAAAGTCTTGCTTCTGATGTTAGGGGAAAAGCTTTCAGTCTTTCATCATTGAGTATGATGTTAGTTATGGGATTTTCATATATGACCCTTATTATTTTGAGGAAGTTCCATTCTATTCATAATTTATTGAGTGTTTTTTAATCATAAGAGAGTATTGGATTTTCCTGCAATAATTCAGATGATTATGTGTTTTTTTTCCTTTATTCTATTAATATGATGTGTTTGCTTGTTTGATTTTTATATGTTTAACCACTCTTGCATTCCTGGGGTTAATTCCAGTTGTTCATGGTAATAATTATTTTACAATGCTGATGAATTTGGTTTGCTAGTATTTTTGTTGAGGGTTTTTATATCTGTATTTATGGGTGATATTGTTCTGTAGTTTTCTTGTACCGTCTTTGTCTGGCATTGGTGTTGGATAATGCTAGCTCCACAGAATGAGTTAGGAACTATTTCCTCCTCTTCAATATCTTGGAAGAGCTTGAGAAGAATTAGTGTTAATTCTTCTTTCAATATTTGGTAGAATTCAACAGTAAGCCACCTGGACCTGGGTTTTTATTTGTTGCCAGGTTTTGAATTACTGATTCAATCTCCTTACTCGTTAGAGGTCTATTCAGATCCTTCATTTCTTCATGATTCAGTTTGGGTACATTGCGTGTTTCTAGAAACTTGTTCATTATTTCTAGGTTATCCAATGTGTTGGTGTGCAATTGCTCATAGTATTTTCTTATAATCTTTTTATTTGTGTAAAATCAGTAGCATTGTCTTCATTTTCATCTTTGAATTCAGTAATTTGTGTCTTAACTCTTATTTTCTTTGTCAGTCTAGTTAGAAGTTTGTCAGTTTTGTTGATCTTTTCAGGGAACCAATTTTTTGGCTTCATTGATTTTCAATATTGTTTTTCTACTGTCTATCTCATTTATCTCAGTACAATTTTTTTCCATCTGCTAGCTTGAATTTTAATTTGCTCTTCTTTTCTAGTTTCTTAAGGTGTACAGTTAGGCTATTTATTTGACATCTTTTTAAAGAAACGTATGTGTTTACTGCATAGTTTTCTCTTAGCATTACTTTCTCTGTGCCCTCTAAGTTTTGGTAGGTTGTGTTTTCATTTACATTCATCTTAAAGTATTTTCTCATTTTCCTTGTTATTTCTTGTTTAATCCATTGATTTGTTTACAAGTGTGTTGTTCAGTTTTCATATATTTGTGGACTTTTCAGTTTTTTCTTTTTGAGACACAGTCTCACTCTGTCACCCAGGCTGGAGTGCATGGTGCGATCTCAGCTCACTGCAACCTCCGCCTCCAGGGTTCAAGTCATTCTCCTGCCTCAGCCTCCTGAGTAGCTGAGACTACAGGCATGCACCACCATGCCCAGCTAATTTTTGTATTTTTTAGTAGAGATGGGGTTTCGTTATGTTGGCCAGGTTTGTCTTGAACTCCTGACCTCAGGTGATCCGCCTGTCTTGGCTTCCCAAATTGCTGCGATTATAGATGCGAGCCACCTCACATGGCCTTAGTTTTCTTTTTGTTAATAATTTATAGTTTCATTCCTTGTGATCAGAAAAGACACTTTGTATGACTTCAATTTTTAAAAAAAGTATTAATATTTGTTTTGTGGCCTAACATGTTCTATCCTGGAGAATATTTCATGTGTACTTGAAAAGAACCTGTATTCTGCTGTTGTTGGGTGGACTGTTCTGTATATGGCCTTTAGGTCTAATTGGTTTTTGTGTTGTTCAAGTCCTCTATTTTTTATTGGCTTTCTGTCTGGTTGTCCTATCCATTATTGAAAGTCAGGTATTGAAATCTTCAACTACTATTGTAGAGTTGTCTGTTTCTGCCTTTAATTCTGTTAATGTTTCTTTGTATATTTAGGTGCTTGGTTGTTTGGTGCATATATGTTCATAATTGTTATGCATTCTTGATGAATGACCCTTTTATCAATATATAATGACTCTCTTTACTTCTTCTAATTGCTTTGACCTAAAGTCTATTCGTGTGATATTAGTAGAGCTATTCCAACTCTCTTTTGGTTACTATTTGCATGGAATATTTTTTCATCTTATTAATTTTTATCTATTTTGTCTTTTGAGACACTGTCTTGCTGTGTTGCCCAGGCTGGAGTGCAGTGGCATGACCTCAGCTCACTGCAACCTCTGTCTCCTGGGTTCAAGTGATTTTTGTGACTCTGCCTCCCAAGTAGCTGGGATTACAGGTGTGCACCACAATGCTCGGCTAATTTTTGTATTTTTAGTAAAGACAGGGTTTCACCATGTTGGCCAGGTTGGTCTTGAACTCCTGGCCTCAAGTAATCCACCCACCTTGGGCTCCCAAAGTACTGGGATTACAGGTGTGATCCACCATGCCTGGCCTCTATTTTTTCTTTAGATCTAAAGTGAGATTCTTATAGACAGTGTATAGTTGAATCATTTTTTTATTCATTCTGTCAATCTACCTTTTGATTGGAGAGTTTAATTTATTTACATTTAAATAATTACTAATGTGGAAAGACTTACTGTTGTCATTTTGTTCTTTGTTTTCTGTGTATCTTACAGCTTTTCATTTCTCAAAAGAATATAGCTTTTTATTCTCTGTATAATCCTATACAGACATACCTCATATTATTGCACTTTATTTTATTGCATTGCTCTCATTACTACGTTCTTTAGTGTTTTGTTGACTTTAAAAAAAAATAGTGAAGTGTTTTGATTCCCTTTTCATTTCCTTTTGTGTATAGACATTTTCTTTGTGATTAATATGAGCCTTGCATTTAATATTCCAAAGTTATCAATTCAAATTGACACCAACTTAACTTCCATAGTATACAAATCAGTGCTTCTACACAGCATTGTCTGCCCTTTTAGGTTATTGTTGCGACAGATTACATCTTTGTACATCGTGTGCTCAGTAATATAGATTTGACTTTCAAATCACATAGAAAATAAAGAGTGGAGTTATAAACCAAATTTCAAATATTATTGGCTTTTACATTTTCTCACGTATTTGCCTTTATTGGAGATCTTTATTTCTTTATGCAGGTTCAGGTGATATTTGAGATCATTTCTTTTCAGCCTAATGACTCCCTTTAGCATTTCTTTCAGGGCAAGTCTAGTAGGAAGAAACTCTCTCAGCTTGTGTTTACTTGGGAATGTCTTAATTTTGCCCTCATTTTTAAGGATAATTTTCCTGATACAGAATTCTTAGTTGAAAGGTTTTTTTGTTTTTGTTTTGTTTTTTACTCAGCACTTTAAATATTTCATTCCCAGTGCCTTCTGGCCTCTGAGGTTTCTGATGAGAAATCAGCTGATAATCTTATAATGGATTTCTTGTCACATGTGACGTGTTGCTCCTCTCTTGCTGCTTTGAACATTTTCCCTTTGTCTTCAGTTTTTAATACTTTAATTATAATGTGTCTTCGTATGGACATCTTTGAGTTTTCCTACTTGGAATCCCCACAATGCATATGTTGTTATGCTCAGCAATGTCTCACAGCTCCCTTAGGCTCCATCCCCTCTTTTCATTGCTTTTTCCTTCTGTTCCTCAGATTCAATAGTTTTCATTGCTCTTTCTTCAAGTTCACTATTTTTTTTTGTTCTGCCTGCCCAAATCTGCTATTAAACCCTCTAGTAAGTTTTTCAAATTTCAGTTATTTTACTATCCAGAATTTTTGTTTGGCTCCTTTTTATAATTTCTCTTTATTTATATTCTCATTTTGTTCTTATATCTGTTCCCTGATTTCCTTCAACCCTTTGTACCTATTTTGCTTTAGCTGTTTGAGCATTTTTAAGAGTTATTTAAAAATCTTTGTCTAATAAGTTGAATTTGACTACTATAATATAGTAAATTTTATGTCAGTTTCTTTCTCTTCTCTAGGGTTTCCTGTTGCTCGTTTGATGATCCCAGATGGAGTTGACAGACTGCCTGCTACCACCTCAACACCAAGACATGCTGCACCAGAGAGGGAGTGAGACAAGAATAGGTTAAAACAAAACTTTCTTACTATCAATATTTTGAAGATTATTTCCTTATTGGGCATTAGCTTGATTGCTCTAAACACTTGACTACTTTCCAGACTTTGGACAAATTTTGTTCTGATAGTTGCTGCTTGATGTTTTTTGAGGTGAGGGAAGAATGTTACTATGGAGGAAAAGGAGCTTGGTTCTTCCTGGTTCACCATTTTGTTGATCACACTCTTGAGCATTCTTTCATGAAAACCCTCTGATTGAGAGATGATGTGGTGCCCGGAAAGGGACTCTCTGAGCCACACCTGGGTACCAGAGTCAGACAAGCCTTGTGTATAGCAAGTGCACTTGGTCACCATGGGAACTCTAGGGGGCGGGTGTTGTGGCCCTTCATTGAGGGCAAGTTTAACTGATGCCTGTGCTTGCTAGGAGGGATCTCTTGAAGATATAAGGATGAGCATGGGAAGCAATACTATGTGCAATTAGTAATATCTGCCCAGGAATGGGATGTGGGGGGGGCACATGTATTGCATATTTGTCATCTGTGTTCCGTGACCGACTTTGATCCTTTTACATGTGGGGAAATTGAAACTCAGAGAGATCCACACAACTGATCCATTGCAGAGCTGGGCCTTGGACCCAGAACCCAGTACCCAATAATCCTGTACAGAAATACCTCATATTATTGCACTTTGTTTTACTGCATTGCACAGATATTGCATTTTTAACAAATTAATGATTTATGGCAACCCTGCATTGAGCAAGTCTATTGGCACAATTTTTCCAACAGCGTGTATTCATTTTATGCCTCAGTGTGAGAATTTTTTTTAGCAATAAAGTATTTTAAAATTAAGATATGTAATTGTTTTTAGACCACATACGATTGCACTCTTAGTATACTATAGTATAGTGTAAACATAACTTTTACACGCCCTGGGAAAAAAAAAAAGTGTGTGACTTGCTTTATTTTGATATTTGCTTTGTTGTTGTGATCTGGAACCAAACCTGTAATAGCTCCATGGTATGCCTGTATTCTGAATATCTATTGCTGCATAGCAAACCACCCCAAAGCTTTGTGGTTCCAAACAATAACAATCTTATTATTTTCAAAGATTTAATGGGTAAGAAACTGGAACAGGGCACAGTGGGAACAACTTATCTCTGTTCTACAATATCTGGTACTTCTGCCGGGTCTTGTGTGACTTCAACAGTTGGGACCTAGGATTGCTGAGCATGATGGTCCACTTAAAGATAGCATTCTTGCTCTTTCTAAGGGACTGGGATGGCTGAGGAACAGGCCAGCTTGGACTGTCGACTGGAGTGACTCCACGTGGCTTTCTGTATGGCTTGGGCTTCCTCACAGCATGGCAGCCCAGAGCAGTGGGACTTCTTGGCGCTCCAAAGGTGGGTGTTCCAGTGAACAAGGTAAAAGCTGCATGGCCTTTTGTGCCTTGGCCTTGGAAGTCACACAATTCTGTTCCTTGACTCTTTCCTTGGTCAAAACAGCCATAGCCTACCAGATTCAAAAAGGGCAAGCAGACCCACTCTTGATGGAGCAGTGTTAAATAGCTCGCAGTCGCATTTAAAAACTGCCGCATCTGTCTTTGAATCTGTATTCTTTGTACTGACACTGGCTTCCTGAAGGGCCTATCCAGCTGCCAGAGAAGAAAGCATGCAGTGACCTCTACTTCTGAGCTTTGGGGGGCACCAGGAGGGTGGGGCAAGGATAGGAGCTCCTCTGCCATATTTGGACAACACCCTTCTGAATGATGTCATGGACCTGGTAGCCTTGAGCTGGTGGTTAGGAAGCACCTCTGAGCAAACCATGACTGCAGGGGGAAGAAGGAGTTGGAACTTATTAAGCACCTACTGCATGCCAAACACCTATATCCAGCCCTGGTTACAGGTGTTGGTTATTCCACATACAGTAGGTGCTTAGGAGGGTGGTCGGCTGGGTAATGGGAACAGAACAGAGCCTGGGATATAGGGTATAGGGCTTATTATTGGTATTATCACTTCATGTTTCCCAGAGAGGCCTCCGTGTGTCACTGCCCCCGTCAATGAGTTCTGAAGAGAGAAAACAGAGGCCATGGTTCAGTCAGTATGGGGAGCACTGTGTTACCAACACCCCACTGCGTGTTAAGGTCAGGCGCCACATCTTGTAGTCAGTTGCTTTGACGAGTGGCTCCAGCTTTCTCTAGCTGCTCTCTGGGCCTCAGTTTCCCTGCCTGCTGGCCAACAGAGGGCCCTGCCAACTCTGGCTGCCTATGACCAGGGTGGCTCCAGAGGGTGCTGCTGGGAAGGGTGCCAACCCTGCCTCTCTGCAGGCGAAACTGGGCATGCCACTCACCTCTCTGGGCCTCAGTTTCTTCCTCTGAGCATTGAGGGAATTTGGGGGTTTCCATGTTCCTTCCAGTCAGAAACCAGATGCTGCCTTGTACCCCAACCCTAGGCCTCAGGAACAGTGCTGGGTGGTCATTTTGGAGGTTTTCTGTCTCTGTCTTTCCCAGTGAAGTTTGCTGGGAAATCTAAGAATAGAATCCAGCCAGGCTGTAGTGGCGGCCAGCTGGAACCTGATACAGTCACATATGAGAACTGGTAGGCCTGCATGCCGACCCCCGACGGACCAGAACGGGATAGAGGCCAGAATATGGCCGTGCTCATTGTCCTCACTCCTACCCTGCTGCCCTGAGCCCAGCCCAGTCCTCCTGCTCCATCTGATTGAAAATCAGGGTATGTAGGGTGATGGTTTGGGCTGCAGCCAGGACAAAACGAGAAGTGTCTGTGCCTGCTGTGGCCTCTGAGCTCTGGAGTCAAATGTGAACTATGGAAGAGGCTGCCTGGAGTGGCAGAAACCCTACCCTGGAATGGGGAGTTGGCTCAGCTACGGGCTCACTGTGTGAGCCTCAGCAACTTGACGTCCCTTTCTGGTTTCAGTCAGTGGCACCACGCCTTATGGTGCTGTCTATATTCTGGTTCCGATTCAGTGGTGGGGAGACTCTGGGCCCCCTCCTTGGGTGCCTCATCTATCTGTCTGTCTATCTGTCTGTCTGTCTATCTATCTATCTATCTATCTATCTATCTATCTATCATCTGTCTGTCTTATCTATGATCTATCAGTCATCTATCTTATCTATGATCTATGTATCATCTACCTATCATTGATCTGTCATCTAGCTAGCTAGCTATCATTTATCTTAACTCTGTTAAAATTTATTTATTTTTGTCATCTATCTAAATCTGTCTTCATCAGATCACTTTCTTAAAAGTGAGGTAGTTGGTTTTCATACAAAGAATGTCACTGTGCTATATCCCATCATTTCACAGCATTGGAGACCAACAGTGAAGCCTTC